CATTGACTTTTTCCATTTTTTCCCCGACTTTGTTGTTTTCATCATCCGAGCGTATCTCGTTATTTATTAATTACAAACACAATTTTTTTATTCACAAAATAATATCCGATCCAGATGAAGAAATTAGACGGGATCTACGCTGGTGATAAGCACGAGTCAATTGACGTAAATCGTAATCGGATAGTCATTTTTATCGGCAATTGCTGACAGAATTGCAAACTCAGTAATTCTGGTCAAATGTTATCAATGATGTTGGGTCATGATCCTGAAGTACCCCTTCGTCAGTTAAAAATGATAACACAATAAATGAATATCATATTTGTTGCTCAATATTTCGGAGTAATACTCAACAATCGGATTGTCAACACGTGAATGATTCTGAACTATTGAAAAAAAATCAATATTTACAAAAATTTCGTGTTTATGACTTTTATCATCGGTTTCATTATAAATCGTTTGGTTTTTTGATGAGGTCTCATCCGCATTTTCCCCTCGGGTGTTCGATATAATTCATCTATCCCATTGAGTCAGATACGATTACGTCGGTGTTATTCCAATTAATTTAATGATATCTCGGGGCGGTGTGCCGATAAATCCGACTGCTGGTACTGAATTAAAAAAAAAGTGATGATACTCGGGGAGATGGACTAAAAAAATATGATAAAAATTTGAAGGAAGTCGATTTTCACGTGATCATTATCGATTTTACCGATTTTTCATTATTTACACATTTTTATTTATAAATTCAGTTGTCCTGCTGGAAATAAAAAAAAAACTCTAATATTAGTCAAATGAATTAAATGATTAAATGAATGAATTAAAGGGTTAGCTTATTTGCCCGCCATTTTGATGCGCCGGACGGCGGCCGACAAAATGGCGGAGAACATCGGGCAAGTCCCCAATTTTTCGGATTTTCTTCAACTTTTGTTAGGATCACAGGAGAATTAAAGAGATGTCACATTTTTTTAGGTATTCAGATTCTTAGGAAGATAGCCGGACGCGATAAATCGATCCCTGAAAAAAATCGACTGATCGATATTAAAATAAATGAAATAAAGGGGAAACTCAAGTGAATTTTCCATTTGTTTGTCCATTCATCTGACTCCTCCCTCGATCCTCCTCACACTCACGAACAGAGAATCTTCCAAGAAATGTACAGTCACAGCCATAAGTAAACTTTATTTTCCCGGAAAACCCAGGAAAAATCCGGGAAACGAGAAAAAAAAATTCAAGCTGAATGCAAAAGCAGCGAGAGCGAAAAATGCGGGTGTATCGGTCTTCGCTTATTTATAGAATGATAAATCATCGGCTGATAAATGACCGAGTGCTGACGATAAGAAAATAAAAAGAAACAATAATAATATGACGAGAAAAATGGCAACTCTTCTGCCGTTGACAGAAATAATTACGACAGATTTGACTGAAAAAAAAAAAAA